TCAGAGGGAGGGTTTCTGGGAAATCAGGGTGTGTCAGTCTAATGCCAAGAATATGATGAGACCCATAAACATGTATGCATGCCAATATTTGTAGGACTTTTTTTATTTTCTTTTTTTTTGTAGGACATTTTGATATTTTATATTTTATAAACTTTTCCTCACTGATATGTTTCTTCAAATATGGTTCCTCCATATTTCACATTTCTCAGATAAATGTGTTACTTCAAGCAATAAGACATGTTCCTGAAGTCAAGGGTGATCCCATTGCTTCCTGGTATAGCGCTAGGACTTTAATTTCATAGCTTAATGACTCAAAGAAATCAAATAATGTTCACAGATACCTGTGATATCAATGCTGTTCAAGTCAATATGGAAAATGACCAGTTGGCTGGATTTATTTGCTTTGATGCCTTGAATGAGTTCTTCTTTTACATTTTTATCTGACACCCACTGGTCAAAGAAAAGGTCAAATTTGACTATAATGCTGCCATTTCTGCAAAGCAAAAAATGACACAAGAAGAAAAAGTCAGCATTTTTCAGGTGATTTGTGCTCAATTCATGTAAGATGTTTTTTAAATTATTTACATTTATCACCTTGTTAATCCTCATTACACCTTTACAAGGTAGGCAATATCAAATATTATTTTCATTTTACAAAAGGAAGAAAAATGAATTAAAAGTCGACATGTTTTTCCAAGAACAAAAACAGATACAGAATGGGAATCTGAGTTCCACATAAGCACACAAATGTTCAGGGCAGGCTGTTTCCAGGGTCACCTGTATTAAATTAAGCCAAAGCAAGTAGTTTCATGAGATTTACTCGTATTTTACTGTTTGAATGAATGGAGAGTGTAGATTTGTAATTTCTCACAGATAATTTCTTAGTAGAGAAAAGTCTAAGGTAGTTTCACTGATTTCAGAGAAAATTTTCCTGTATAGTTTATGAAGACCGGATAGCAAGCTTATAGCAATGAATCTGTATCCATACTTTTCTCTATTCTTAATAGAAGATATCCAAATTTGTTCTATTTTAAAGGAGAGGAAAAAGACATTAAGCATATCTGCATTATCAGAGGCTTACAGGTATTCATTCTTACTGTCTAGGGTCAGGATTACTTGGCCTACGCCATCTCAGACCATAACATTAGAGTTCAATTATATAACCCAAGTCACCTTCCTTTTTATTTTATTCCCTGTTCTGCAGCATGCACTTAAAAAGTTTTATTCACTGGTTATTTGTTTACAGTTTAAAGAAACAACAGCAGCAACAAAAAAATACATTTTTGGCCCAGGAGGGATAGTTGAGAGACGTTTCTTCTCCTGCCTACTTTTCTGTTTCCCTCATGCTCTACTTTCAGGATACTACCCCTTGGGACACAAACTTTAGCTGATTTTCATTTCTGTAGCCCTAGGTATTGTTGTTTTCTCCCTACATGATTATACGCAGAATCAAAAGGTTCCTGCAAAATCATGGTAGATCAGCATCTGTACTTGGTAGCATATGCCTTCTTAATGTCTGTGCTACTATTTAGGTTCAC